ATATACAACGAAGATCTCATCTGCAGATTATGTAATAAGGACGAGGAAACAGCCACCCATATCATCTTCGAATGCGAAGCAACAGCTCAGTGAAGATTTAACCTAACGTACCGAAAAAACTTAGGGAATCAAATTACAGCAGCGACAGTCAATGACCTGATACTTCTAAGGAGAAGGATTGAGACTATTGCACTGAACTAAGGAACTAGGAAGGTACAATAAGCCAGAAGGCTGCAGTGCCTGGGGAGTGCAAACCCCGCTTCCTAGTATCCTTTTTCACCATACCATACCGTACCAAAGAACAATTTCGTCTCAACCTCTTTTCAACTCTTGTCTTCCTTACTGTCCCGTCCTAACAAAAGAACATTGAAAATCTTAAAAAAAAAGATTTCTTTGTTTAACCAATACAAATCTCTTTTTTTCTACGGTTGAAAAGTCGAAAAACAATATAAATAACCATACTGTTATTGGTTTTAATATATTGATTATTATCTTGGTTTCAAAATGGAAAATATTAATTAGCCAAAATGATGCCTCCCTAAAAGGTGGGGGTGAAACCGAAGGTGGCGAGAGGTTAGGTATTATATACAGTATTGCCACGCTGGTGGTTGTGCGTTCGAATCCCTGGAAAGCACATGCACGCCCTCGAAACCCAATTGTTTACTGAAACCATTAAAACACTTGTTAAAACGTTCCTGTATGTCAGGATTTATTTTACTTTACTCTCTCTCTAAATCAACAATTATAGGATATCGAATTTCTGCTGAAAAAAAAATTGTTTGTAAAGTTTGCGCGATTTCGGCCCTACCCACGGATTATGAAAAAGATTCCATAAAGCGCTTGCGCTTGCAGAATAATAAAATAGTATTCGAATACTAAGACGAATACCTGAGCTAGCGAGCCGGTATGGCATTTTTATTCAATTTTTTATTTATTTATTTATTTTTTGTGTCACATTGCAATTTTTATGGCCAGTTAATCAATATTTATTATGTTTTGTTTCCATTCTATATTGCGTTTGGCAACCGTTAAAGTGCAAAAATATTAGAAAATTAAAACGCTTTTTAGAGTAATTATTATAAATAATCGATTACATTTGTAAATATTAAAACGAAGATCATTAAATTCAAATAATAAAATAAAAACTATCAAAACATGGGAGTAATTGATGAAGATCTTATGAGTACTAATTGATACATAATAAAAATAGATAAGAAGATATATAGAGATAGGCAGATATATGTATGTAGATATAGTGAGAGTGAGAGAGAAAGTGGACGAGTGAAGGGGAGGAGAGAGAGTGAGTGAAAGAGAGAGGGTAAGAGATAGATTGAGGAAGCTAGGGAGAAAGAGTGAGAGTGAGAAAGATGGAGAAAGATATACACCCGGGAAGGGATTGATAGATAGACAGAGATTGATAGGAAGGAAGAGAGAGAGAGATAGAGAGAGAGGCAGAGAGAGAAGAGTGATGTACAGAGAAGCACACTTACACAATTTTTATATATATTTATAATGTATGTGACGTGAAATATTGTATGTAAAAAAACTGTGTATTGTATACGAGAAAATGTGTGTATGTGTTTATGTGCTTCATTTAAATAATTAACAATAATTACCTCTTTTACCAGTTATATAGTAACAATCGCAAAAAGTAAAAAAAGGGATTTTTTAATTTTTAACGTGTTTTCTACGTATTTAATATACCCTTCATTATTAGAATTTCGTTTTAAAATCACGAATAAAGCTGTTTTGAAATAAAATGTAATATTCAATTTCTTCTTTAAGTTTTTAATATTTTTCAGTCAAATTGGTCTTAGCAATAATTTTTTAAGATAAAATTGAACTCTTATATTAGCACTGTATTAGATATTCAATATAGTGACAATTCTTTTTAAAATAATTTATGTGGATGTGTTAGAAGGAGAAACGCAAAATTCAGTTAAACTTGGTAAAAGTGAAAACTATTTTTTGGTATAGTTCTATAGTAAATACTAATAATGGTTTCAGATAACTTTAAGGTACTTGGTGAACAATTTTTAATTATTTGAACTGTCAGTGATTAAAGTAAATGTTATAGAGAATATAAAAAAATATGGGATTGAAACAAAATGGGAAGTTAAAATAAACCAAGAAAAGAAAACAGTTTTGATTGATGAGCTCTACTATCTTAACGAAATACAAATTTTAAGATAAGAACACGGGAAATGAAGATTTAAATAAGCAAAGCGATTTACTGGACACATTACAAAGGCAAAATTTACAAAGTACAAGTAAAAACATAAAATTAACTGTTCATAGAAATTAATTATATGCTTGGTTAATAAGAAAAGTGAGATATAAAAGCCAATTGAAGTATCACTTGATTTTCTTTTAAGGATAAATATATGTTGAATAAAAATGTGTAAGTGTAAAAAGAAAAAGTTCATATTTTTAAACAATAAACATTATAAATAAATTAGACAATACCAATCTTAATTTTTTTTACTGTCCTTGTAGAATTGTCAGAGCTCGTATTCAATATGAGAAGAAATAGGAAAAACTAGAAATATTTCGACACCAATACCTGGGATACGCAATCTGCAGAATAGTGGAATTGCAAGTGAAGGGTGGGGGCGCTGGGGGAATCAGCCCCGACCTTTGGTTGTCTATTATGTTAATGGTACTGTACAAAAGCGGGGGGTGATATCCTATATATTGAGAAGGAGTTGCCGACAGACATCAGTAGACATCAACCTGCTATCATGTACAAGGTGATTAGTGCTTTTTCAACGGATATACAAGTGCTTGTTGCTTTCGTTATTAGAAACGCTGTGGAACGGTGTGGACTTCTTTCCAAGACGTACAATCAGGCGGATGGCCGTTGATTGAATTTTACGCGTTGTGTCTTTTCAATTTTCAATTATTATCAAGGAAACACCTAGTATAATTTTCATAACGAAAAATTTTAACCATTTTTCAAAAAACATGTTCTTTTCGTATCTAATGGTGTTTAACTACAAGACTCGAAATATCTTTGTTTTATTCTTTTTTATTTTCAATTTGTAGTTCAAAAGAATATTAAATGCTATTGATTAGATTTTTTAAAACACATTCACAAAATATCCGACGTAGTCATTACTTAAATTTTTGGAATAATTTATGCATTTGTTCAATATTCTTTAAACATTCTAAAATAAAAAAAGGGTTTGTCTCAACGATATAATTTTTATTCGTTAACTTAAATTGAAATTTATGAATATTTGTTAAATTTCATTTTTAACGGGTTATCATAATTTACTATCATGTAGACAATGTTTTTTTTTTTAAACAAATCTTCGTATAAATATTATCATTTAATATTATTAAACGACAAGTTATGCAATTTAATTAAAGACATCATAAATTTGTAATTAAACAAATGATTGAACAATTGAAAAAATGTGGAGATAATATTTTTCTGTCTATATTACAAGGATTTTCTAATATCAGATTTGAGACAGTGTGATAGTAAAATTTACAAAAAAAATCAAATTTCTTGCTCTTGAAATTTAAAATTTTGCCCAGTTGCCATTGAAAGTTTCAATTTTTTAATTAAATTATTCTTATATATCATAGTTTTGAATTTACTATTGTTATAATGCACAATTTTTTACTAAAATAATTTAAATTCGTCAATTTTCCTCAAAGGAAAATATGAAAAAATTAAGAGTAAATTGCATATCGTGAATTGTTAATTGTGGTCTAAAATATTCTAAATTGCGCTCAAACTTATATTGCTTTTTGGTTTACCTATGTAATTTTTGAATAACCATAAATGCTAAATGGTGAATTTTAGTGTAAGAATTAAACAAAAAAGTTATATTTTGTATATAATAATTGTATAATTTAATTGTATAATATTATAATTTGAAAGCCCGCACTAGGTATATTTTAGTAGTAGTGTATGAGCATAAAAAAGGTTAAATGGAATTTAAAAGTCAACCGTTTCCGTTGATATTTAAATGTTGAAAAATTGAAATTTAACTTGCAAATTTTGATAAATGTAACTGTGAAATTTTGTGGAAAAATGGGTTAATAGACAAAAATACTAATCTTACAAAACATATAACAAGTTTTTGTTCAAATAAGGCATGAATAATAAATTTTATTATATAAATATTAGTATGAAGTTAAATGAATCCTATACAGTGATAGGACAAACGCCTTAATTTACAACAAGAATTTTGGATTTATAAATTAAATTATTCTTAAACAATGGATTTTAATCAATTTTACAATCTATAGAAAATCTTTTAATACAATTGCCAATATAAAAAAATAAACAAATATCTTAAAAATGTTAGTGTAAAAGACAGATCATTCGTTTCACGAAAAATTATATTCACTTAAATCTATTACAACGATAACTATTTTATGATTTTTATTTAATGTGGGGTAATTTGATAATTTTCATAACATAAGATCTCAAGGTAATTGGTTGACTACTAGTTTTTTGAAAAAGAATTTATCATATGTACAATCTCTATCTAATATATAGAATAATAATAGATTATAATAGATTTAATTTTTTTAAATAATTTAAAAAAATGCTTTTTTGTTTTTACAACTGTTGAATTTCTCACCGTATCAAAATTATCTTGTAAAACTGTCTGGTAATTTTTACGTTTCGATTTATTGTATTTCCTTCGATTAAAATTTGCTAGAATATTATATACGCGGATAAAGCACAATCATCCTTTTTTTTATATTATTGTATTAAACTGTGGAGTTTAGTTTCGATTTTTTTATGTCAAAAGTTTTGCATGTCGGAGTAATAAAAGTCAAATAACTCGTAATTTAATAATTTTAGGTAATTAATAATTCTGATTTTGTTTTCAAAATACTCTTTGAGTCGATTTTGTCACGGGGCGAAATTGTTTGTCACTCAATAACGATATGTGTTGTTGGTTAGTATAACTAAACCGTCTCGACCCAGTTTCCCCCCTCGTTGAAGTCTATTTTAAGTTTATCTTCACGATTTAATTTCAGAATTCTCGTTCAATTAAATTTAATTTTGTTCTCTTTTGTTTTGTAGTTGGTCCTTTTGTCGTGCTTGGCTCTCGCCTATTCCGCCCCCCAGGGCCCATCCACGGAACCCATCCCGATCCTTAAATACGAGAACAACGTCAACTTCGACGGAACATACAACTGGGAGTAAGTATTACTTCGACCGTTAATTTAAAATAGTTTAATGGTTAATATTTTTTTTCCAAGAATGACTTGATATTTATTGAAAAACTAAGGAAAAAAAGATTCATTGTTAGATGATCATATATACATATATATATTTAAAAAAAAGTTTTGTTATTATTCTTAACAAAATAGTTTTGTAAGGCTACATAACTTTAATCGTCGCGAATGGTCCTGATCCACGTTTAGTCCGACATCGCCTATCATTACCAAAATTACAAAACATATCTGACCAAAGCGCACCTCGAGAAGACACGGACCAACCCGTTGATAAATAAATTAAATTGATTGCCGTAAATTACGACGAATCGTGCGCACGAGATCCGCGTTGACAAGCCGTTGAAAAAGCCCTAAAGCTTAAACGTGTTCCTCAACATTTCCAATTGCTAAACAGGAGAAAGGAATTTTTAAATTAAAACGACTTAAAATTGTACTATTTGATCATTCGATTGGCTAATATAAATATGCATTTTTCAACTCTTCAATTGTTTTTATGTGTTACGATGCAAGAAATTTAAAATATATCGTCGTGATCTTGTGAGTCTAAAGGCCAAAGAGATTAAAACAGGACTTAATTGTATTCATTAAGTAACATCCGCATGTGCATTAATCACAGTAAACCTCGTATAAATTAATTGTTTAAGAAGGTCGGTGCTACAGTTCTAAAAAATTAGCCATACAATCAAAATTAATTTATGTGGAATTTTTTTAAACGGATCGAATAATAACAATTAGTACGGTATTTTTCAATAAAGTTAAATTTTGAATAACCTATGTTACATATAGTACAGACATAAAATGAAACAGATGAGATATATAGCGAGAATGGGCGGACCAGAATGTCCATATTTCGATCTACTGAGAAAATTGGAACTAGTTAAAATTAGTTCAACACCTTGTGCCAAAAACAATATTTTAACTTTATTTAATATTAATTCACAATAAATAATGTAATAAAAATAAAATAATACATCTGATTGTTTGTTACGTTGTTCAAAAATTCTTTTTTTAAGTTTCACCTATAAAGGACTTAACAATTGTTTCGTAGTACGATCTTAAAAATATATGCTTTTATCTTTACGTTTTTGTCTCATAATGCAAAATATTCCTTTAGATCTCCCTTAAAAAAATATTCATATATATTTATATATATTTAAAATATAGAGGAGTTAACTTATCTTTGTACCACGTTATGGTTTTCAACTTTTCATAAAAGGAAACATCAATGATTTGAATTTAACATATGGTTTTTTTCTATTATTTGACTCATTTGTCATGCATGCGCATCAGATTAGAAAATGCCTAATCGCAAATGATTTTCATTCAACGAGAATAAAAAGACCGGGATCTAAATATATTTAAAGCTAGAAAATTACAACTTTTTCACACTTATAATTACAATGCTATGTGTCATTTGCAATATATTGCCCATAATATATAATAAACGATTGGTAATTTAGTTAAAATGTTACTACTACATATCTAAACTATGTTGAAACATGCTATTTTAACCGTTTTTAATTGAAGATTCTTTAGGTTGAGTTCACACTTATACGACAAGTTACGTTGGCTTATTAAACTTTCTTTATGTATTTGAGGTTTTACGAGGGTATTTCCACAAGAGGTTATAGGGTGGTTGGTGTTTAAGAACAAATAAAAAAAAGCCCATTTGTAAGTATGTATTCGACTCCGGGAACCTTAAAGTAATGAGCGCCTTGCCAACTTCTTAAAAAAATCTATCAGCATTTGATTTGTATTGTATTTCGTCTATAACAGATTTTGATGGAAAAATAACATGACGCAACAAGTCCTGAAGCACAGTGAAAATAAGTGGACCAGAATGTCCAGATATTGATAAACGTAAAAAATTTATCTGTTATGTGTAAAATATTAGACATAATTTAAAAAAGTTTATTAATTAAGCTTAAAATCAAATGTAATCTGTATCTGGTTATTTGTTAATTTAATTTAGATATTTTGACTTACAGATTTTTACAACCAATGAAGAAAGTATTTCTTTCTAAAAATTAATATTGAAATTACACAGTGTGATAAAGTTTTTAGCTGTAGTCTTGGGCATTTTCCTTTGGTTCACACTTCCTTTTTTAGATTAGAGGAAGTAGTTTTTCTTTGCACTACGTTGTAGCCTTATTTTTTGTCAGTTGGTATTCTAGAATTTAAAGTTTGAAAATATAATAAAATAAAATTTGAAAACAATCATGTTAATGTTTGTGTTACGGTTTTTGTTTTTTTTTTGTCTTTCGGTTTTAAGCTGGTTACAACTCGGATATTGTTACCTCACGAGGCATGTCACGAAACGCTTCCGAAGACAACCGGCTATTACCGGCCTCCGACAGCATCAGAAGTGCACGAATTAGGATTTTCCCATCCGATCCTTTTGCTTTTTCTCCTAATGAGTCTTGTATAAAGCAAGGAAAAAGGTCTCGCCGGCTCTCAGCCAAGGACGTTGGGGCAAATTACGTGAAATACCCCAACACGGGATGCGAAAATACGTTTCAAAACAACATGCAAATGCGCCCCTCCGCCGCGTTCCTTTCATAGATAAACGTCTCCCTTATTTACTCAGGAATTAGGATCCGAGTTTTACAATTGCAGCGGTACCGAATTAAAATCGAGAAAAAAGCCTTGAGACGATCGCATCATCATTGTGAAACGCTATAAACATTTCACAACAGTGCTGCGGTAATAACCGATTAAATAATAAACACAAGGAGAAATTCGAGTGATTGAATACCAATGAACTGACATGAATTGTCGCCATCAATTCTTACTCATCGTGTACCTTTATTTTGAACTTTTACTCTTTAAAGTGATATTTAAAATTGATTACACCATAATGATAATTTGTGCATAATATCAACGCATTAGTTATGTAACAACAAAATATAAATTGACAGCCATGAACCGTTTTGGGTTTTTGTACTATTTGTCTTTACTGTTTTTACTTTGTATACACACCATGTCTGTATACACTACTATACACTAATAATTCACGTATCACAATCAAACATGTCATACACAACCACCCCAAATTATTCAGTTTTCTCTTTAATTTATATTATTCCCATAAGTAATGGACAGATATAAGGGGTTAAAGTTAATTTGGCTCCGTCCTTTACTGTCCCCCTCACTTTACTCATACGATTATGCATTAGTAACATGCCACCTTAATAATGAACTAAAATAGTTTTAATTTTAAGTAAATTTATTATTACAATAACAGCAGTTCAATTTATGACGATTTAACTATTTCAATTACTAATACCAACTAACTTACTTTAATACATATACAAAGCATACTTAAATAAATAATTTTACAAAAAATATGAACATCAAAACTATTTTATCGTAATTAAGACAATTTTATTTCAAATGAGTGTTGCGAATACAATCCTGAACGAAAGCCAAGGCTAAAACAGATAAAAGGCTGTGGGAGAGAAAGAGAAGGAAAAGAGAGAGAGAATGAAGATTGAGAAAAAGAAAGTGAGAGACTGAGAGAGAGAAAAAGAAGGCCGAGAAAGGGAAAATGACGCTGAAGGAGAGAAAGAAGAAAAGCTAAGAAAGACCGAACACAAAACAAGCCGAAATTAAGCATTAACAACAATTAATAACTTGTAGTCAAAATATTTATAAAAAAACACGTTTAAAATCTTAGTACAACAGGTGTCGAAAATTTGCAGAAAAAGAAATTACATATATTGCTTAAATATTGTCATTTTTATTATTACATGTTATATAAANTCGAAGTATTTCTACGTTGGCACGATAAAGAAAATGTTTTTCTGAAACCTACAACACACCAGACCGCATCTCACGATTTCTAAAAAAATATCGATTAACGGTCACTAATCACCACACATTTATATAAATATGTTCAATTCAAAGTTTTCTTCAAAACTCTGAATTTATTCTAATGCTAGTTGTTAAAAAAATTACAAATATTGCAACTGCAAAAAATATTGGGCAACCTAACTTATTTAAATAACAATAATCAATTTCATGACTGGTACTAATTAGTGTTACATTGTTTTATTCTTAATTACAACTACTACATTGCTTACAAATTATTGTTACTAATGTAAAGAAAGTAAAATCCATAAAGTATTACTGTACATACTCAGTTATGTATATTGACGACTAAAAATGTTAAAAATTAATCAAATATTATCATAATTTCTTTTGTTTCCGTGGTTTCACGGATTTAGTTATTGCATCGGACCATTTTGAAATATTTATATTCACCTCAATTCTCAATAGTCGAGTACACCAATCAATGATTTGCCTTTTTATTTACAAATACACCAGTATAATTTATATGGCAAATAAAATTTTTGATGTTTTCTTATAATCGACTTGTGATAATATGAATTGATATGATTAATCGAAAGATACAGCGTGAATTCTCTGAACTTTCAACTTAAGCACTAAGTCGGAAGAGCGCGCTTATTTATCGATCTACAATGTTTTAAAATGGACTTATGATTAATTAGTAGGACGGTATTTAAAACAATTTTAATCATTAAAAAAATATATTTACATGAGTTCAAGTTAACTGGAAATAATATTTTAGTTTTTGTATATTCACTAAAAGTGAATTAACAACAAGGAAGGAGTTAAATGAACAATGTTCAGCGTTTAAAGTGATGATGCAATTTGTCAGACATCACAGCCGTTACCTGATGCTTCCTTTAACAAAAACCATTCGTTAACGACTCACTAATGCTTATCTTGAACGGTGATTGCGTTTCCTCTTGAACGGCCTGAAACCCGACAATTTAAACGTAAAATTTTAAACAATTGAAATAACGAGGGAACGGATGAAAGGATCTTTATCCTTTGCGTCACGGCTGTCAAATTTTAAGTCAAAATTATGCAGAAAATGTTTTCCCTTTTAAGAAAAGTTTATGACGCAGTAAATCATGGAGTGTCAAAACCTTACGTGATACAATTTTGTTGGGATGAGCATCGTGAAATTCTGTTGAGAACCTTCGGAATTGTTAACTTTTTCCCCTCTTACGAGTACCCCTAATAAGAGGGAATTTGTTTACTATATGCTTCATAAGACATATTACACGTGCTTTACAATAAGTGATATATTCATCTAGATTTGAGATATAATTATTCAAAAAGCTAGTGTCACAAGCGGGATTTGAACCGACGACCTTCGGCTACATACGCCGCTGCTCTACCACTTGAGCTATCGTGACTTCGATCCTCCATTCATTTCAACCAATACAAAGAATAATTAATTGAAAGAACTAATTCTGTCAATCAGACCACTAAATATGATGGATAATGGCATTGCACGTTGATGGCTTGAATTAACTTTATTATATCTTAAATAATTTAAATTTAATCAAAATTGAGTTTTTCATAAGTGAACAAATTCATTTTTAAATGTATTAATTAATTTTAAAAATATTTGCGGCCTATTGCACGTATCAAATTGGATCGTTTCTTGTCGAACTTGGTACAGTTCAAGAAAATGTGTTCCCAATTTTGGGCTTTGCAAAAGTCATCCTTGATGAACCTTTTTAGGTGTGCTTTTTGTTTTCAGTGACCAGAGTAAATCTGTGTGGTTTTATCTATATAATTAGACTTTGTGATATTGTTGGATACAATTTTTTGGTGGGGCTCACATTGTCAGTGTTTTACCACATTTCATTCCATTCTAGTTAAAGTTTTTCGGGCCGCTTCTTAATTTCCCTGTATGCCGGAGTGCGCTTTAATCCAGTTTATTGAAATTTTCCGAACTTTTCTTTCCAAATCGACTAATATATTCCAAGTGCATTGGGCTGTCCTTGCCATGCATTTTTATGGGTTTAGCAAGTCTATAGAGGTCTGGCCCTCTGTGCTGACAAGCACTGAACCCTCTGCACCGTTAAATCTTTTCTGAATCCATTTAATTGAAGAGAATGTTCGTTGATGTAAATTATTTATGTACTTTTAAATGAAATATTATATATATATATCATGCTTTTAGATAAGTACTATATGCTGAAAAAAATGTTCATCTAAATTAATTAAGGTTTTTAGTTGATATAAAAAAGTCATTGTCACGAGCGGAATTCGAACCCACGACCTTCGGCTTGATACGCCGCTACTCTACCACTTGAGCTATCGTGACCTGGATCCACTCGGACACTAACTTCCCATGTCAAATTTGTCGTCGAGAATCCAATCCGATTACACGACATTTTAAAAATGGCAAAAATGAGGGAAAATTCAAAAGGTGCGGTTGTGATGGGAAGTTGGTGTCCGAGTGGATCGAGATCACGATAGCTCAAGTGATAGAGCAGCGGCGTATCAAGCTGAAGATCGTTGGTTCGAATCCCGCTCGTGCCATTGACTTTTTAATCTCGACAAAAAACCTTAATTAATTATAATATTTTTACATTATTAATTTCATTTTCAAGTAAAACTTTTCGTTTTTTGGACATGTCTTTAACAAAGGTTAAGGAACTAAATTTTTTATTTTTATTAACGATTGAATTACTCTGCCTACCTAGCAACATTATTATTCTTGACGTAAAACCCTACTAATCAGTAATTTGGGGTAACCGTTAGAAACAAGAATATTTTCAATTTTTAATTTACTCTTTTGTAGGAAACAATTGTCACTTAAATTAAGGGATTTATCAATTATATTTATTATAATATTGATTTTAATTTTGCTGGAGTGGGATGAGGTATGAATATGATAATGTTGAAAATCACATGGTTGTGTTAAAAATATTCTTGATTAAAAGTAGTTAAAGTATGCTTGTCCTTTTTTAATGTTCACATCAATTCAGGGATTTTGATTAATTACATAGAAGGGAAGGTGATCATGTTTTCTGTGAAATTGTCGAAATCTTTGTAGTTGAGTTTCTACAACAATTTTTAGAACACACGTAAATTTTCATTACCCTGGCGTGTAGTGCCAAGCCCTTCTGGGCCGCTAGTTTCAAAAGCACTCTAAAATATATTCTAATTCGTTTTCTTCTCTTAAATTTCAGATACGAAACCGGTAACGGCATTGCCGCCAAGGAAAGCGGCTTCGTCAAAAATTTCGGCCAGGGAGAGCCCAACGAAGTGCAGACGGCCCAGGGGTCTTTCTCCTACACAGCTCCAGACGGTCAGGTCATCCAGTTGACCTACACCGCCGACGAGAACGGCTTTGTTCCCCAGGGAGCTCATCTCCCGACTCCTCCTCCAGTACCGGAGGCCATCCAGAGGGCACTCGACTATCTCGCCACACTCCCTTCCACGCCGGAAACTCCCCAAGGTTAAATGAACAAACTGTGCCAAAAATCTTTGTAAAATCTTTGTAATAAACTCCGCTTTGTAAAGCTAAAAGAATGAGCATTTTTAACGCCCTCTGCTTTTGAACCTTATGTAAATATAAATTGGTTTTATATAAAAAGTCTAAAGCTAACGAGTTTTCATCTTTAGACATTCTTTCGGCCATAAAACATCTCAAATCAAAGAAAGCTCCAGGTTTTGACCTTAAAACTTTACTCTTAAAATAAATTAAACTCTTAAAATCCTCAAACACCTACCCAAAAAAAGCCATTATATTCAATTTATACCTATTTAATTCTCTACTACGTATCTACTTCCTTGTAACATGGAAACACAAACGTTCCCTAAACAAAAACCAACACATTTTACTCCGTCATATGAGTCAATAAGTCTACCACCCATTTTGAGTAAAATTTTAGGAAATCTCCAGAAGAGTGAAAATTCCAAACGTTCTAAGTTCCAATTTTCTCAAAACTGAGGTGTTTTTTCTTAATGTTCTATGTGCCATCGCCAATAAGCCTAATAATGCTCTATGTACCAAACCTCTTTAGAAGTGGTTTGTTACGTTCCTCAAAGATGGCACTGGTTTAAGTACGGGACATATGATTTTTCCAAAGGTTCTGTGTGCCATGGTGTATTAGCTACTTAACCTAGAACATTCGTACTTTCTACATTTAAAACACGCCTATGACTCTATATTAAAAGTAAATTTTACAAAGGCTATTACGATAAAAGTGTCTAAAGATGATCCAGGTTTTATCCAGTATAAGTCCACTTTCAATGACACAGACTTGTGCAAACGTGTTAATGTACTAAAAGAGGGGTAAACCTGATGGTATTAAAAAAGTTTATACGTCATTGATTCAGAAGTCATTCCTGTCGGATGACAAGAAAAAAGATTTCTCTGCCATGTAGGAATTTTGCCAGAAACTGCTAAAAACTATTATCAAAACATTCTAAATAATTAAAACTATGATTTATCTTTATAAGTTAATTTCATCTATTAAATTATTTAGGTTTACCAGGTTCTATGTATCAATATAGTTTTCATTCAAAGAGTTCGATGCACCACGGTATATAGAACGTTTCTTCATTTTTTTTTTTGCATATTAAGGAAAGAATATACTCCTTTATTACCAATAAAATACATTTGAATAAAGTTTTTGAGTTACCATTTGACTTATGCTGTTTTATTGCTTTCCTGAAAATAATAACCGGAGCACTTAGAACATTTGGAATTTCCACTCATGTCCTATTTACAAAAATTATTTTAATCCTGAATTCTCAAAATATAATCTCTGACGAACAATTTCGTTTTCGCAACTGCTTTCAATTATCCAACCACAGTGCCATCATATGGTAGACCTTCCTTCTTCAGATGAGGGAGAACTGTTCTGCGTCCTTTCTTGGCATAAGCTTCTTGTACTAGCTGCGAAAGAATATACTAGTTTATTACCAATAAAATATATTTCAATAATGTTTTTGAGTTACCATTTGACTTATGCAGTTTTATTGCTTTCCTGAAAAAAATAACCGAAGCACTTTGGAATTTCCACTCTTTTCCTATTTAAAAAATTATTTTAATCCTAAATTATCAAAATATAATCCCCGACGAACAATTTCGTTTTCACAACTGCTTTCAATTATCCAACAACAGTGCCATCATATGGTAGACCTTCTTTCTTCAGATGAGGCAGAACTGTTCTGCGTCCTTTCTTGGCATAAATAAGCCAAGCTTTTGTTCGAGTTTGGCACCCGGGCTCGCTGTTCAAGAGCACCTTCCCTAGACCATCTTCTACAGCAGTTACCCGATTTTTCAGAAGTTAGTGAAGGCAATCCCTCCCAGAATATTTTCGCATCCAAGCTGGGGTTCCACGGGGTAACGTGCCATTTCCCGCATTATACCAGGTTTATACAGCTGACTATAATATCCTAAAACCACCACGCTCACATTTGTAGACTATACAGCGATCTTCTCTATTAACTCTTTCGCGTCATTTCTACTCGAAACTTTTAATAACATACCACTCGTTCGAGCGTTTGTCCAGAAGTCGTGCAAAAGCCCTATATCGTGACATAACTTCTTGACGTTTCAATCATCAGTGAGGATTCCACGTCAAGGGTGTGTCGACGTACACTCCGAGATACCACACCTTGTCAGCAGTTGGGAGGGGAATATTAATTAGACTGGGGAAGAGAACTTTTTACGGAGAGTAAGGTGATGTGGATGGATTTTTCTTTGTTATTGTGTCTAACATACATGTTAATAAATATGTTCTTTTCTTTCCACTCCAAGAGTATAGGAGAGTGGGATGTTGTCAAAAAAAAAATTTTTTTTCGAGGCGTTATACCCCGGGGTGCCGCTATTTAAAAAAAAGAAAGATTTTTAATTATGTCGGGTTCGAATGCAGGGTCGCTGGATTCGAACACTGGATGTTTTTCCCCTACCTTACAGTGATAAGCGCCGTATCAACGCTTAAACCGTTGCGGCCACCGAAGTCCCTTTCACTTTAGTTGTCATATTCAATTGGTTTTTTAATTTATTTAATTCAATCTTGACTTCTGGTACCTATCCCTTTACCCACTTATCTAGTTTTAACTATATTATAAAAATTTATGGCACATGCTTATTATCGTACCACCGCCGTTATTCACGTTACGCCGTTATTTGCTAGGTGGGTAAAATAGGGTAAGAAAAATTATATTAACAACCTATATATTTTATATTCCAGATAACTGTACATGCACTACTTCACTTGTTAACCAACGAAACATATGCAAAAACAAGTAGACAAAAACATATATCTTTTTCTCACCTAGAAAAGTATTTATTAGGGCATACGTAAATACATTTTTTCCATTTAAGTATGTGAGATATTCGAGTTTACAAATAGACAAATAGATATTATCGAGATGTCTGAAAAGCACATTGGGTTCTTTCTCGACTTAAAAATTTAGTAAGTCACATTTAGTAAGTCTTTAGGCCATACAGGCTGTGTGTAATGTTTAGGTCGAGAAAGAACCCAGTGTGCTTTTGCATCTTCTTTCGACCAAATTTGACTTAAATAGTTTTACCACGAGGGTTTAAAGTTAATAACCAGCACTTTTTATACATAGACATAGTTTAGAGCTATTTACATATTTACATGGAAATAAACATATATTGACATATAGTGATATATATCTTCGGTTGACACATGGGCGAGGTGGCGAAAGCCGGTACGTCCCACCCTCCAGATCGGACCATCGCGATCAGGCCCCCTGACGCTAAACACGCAGTTAAAAATATGATAAAAGAAAGATGGCAGCGTCAGTGGGCGGGGTCGTCGGAGAAGCTCTTGCGAGTCGAGAGCACGACCGGTAGATGGCCCTCAGAAAATCTGAGCAGGAGACGAGGGATCGTCCTCACCCGACTGAGGATTGGCCATACGCGGTTGAACCATGGGCACCTGCTTTTGGGCCAAAGCCCGCGCAGGTGCCCTTTATGCAGAGAAAGGTTGCTCGATGTGTCCCACATAATAGAGGCGTGTCATGCCTTGGCTCCATACAGAGAGCGTGTAGGCATGCCGCCGGACTTAAGAAGAGTTCTCGAACACGGAAGCGAGTTTCAGAGACCCTTGTTCCTCTTTTTAGGAGAAATTTTTTTTTATTGTATATAATATGTCTTATCTGTTGTGTCTATATGTTTTGTCTGAGTGCATGTATTTATTAGAGTGAATGGCGAGGGGTGAGGGTGAAATGTAACGTCATCATCGCCCCTCGACCGTAGAGAGCGTAAGAGTGTGTGTTCGGGGTCGATGGCGGAATATTTATAAAAGTACTCCATCGACCCCAATCTACATTAGTTTAAGTCTAGGTCGGTGAAGGATTATCAAGTTCTCCACCGTCCAAACGGAATGAGTGTACTGTATGGATGTATTTATGTGTATGAATGTATTTATTTGCATGAATGTAGTGTTTGAAAGGGTAAATAGAATATAGACTTAGTTGGGGGCTGAAATGACCTAGATGTCGGAAGGCCCAGTCAAGAAATAAAAAAATAAATAAATAAAAAATAAACATATATCAATATAATGCTCCCATTGTACTTCACTACTAATTCCTCAAAAAAAAAAGTCACAGGATCATTTCCACGTGAGACACCTTATCCTCATATGGATGGGTTTTGTTGGGCAAGATGGATAAGGGCGAAGTAAGACCCTTATCCGTGGAGTAATAAGTTCGATTCTGTATGCGAATGTAGAGTTGAGCTTATATAAATCAATAAATATTTTATCTATATTCTCATGTATATATATATATAAGTAGATCAATATGACTTTGCAGAACTAAATTATTAGATTCATAATTAAGCATACAGATGTTTTAAACACTATTTGTCTTTAAATAAAACAACACTGGAAAAATTGTATTGAAAATTATATGAAATGTACTTTATAAAGGAAAGAATATTAAATTTAAAAAAATAAACTTACTTTTAATCAAATAGTTTTAAAAATATGCTATTATTTTGTACTTTTTTCAATCTTGAACGGTTTGTTTCATGCCGATGTAATATAAAACTTATATAATTTCTTTTAGATGTTTTCCTTATTCCGTAGAGAAAATAATTTTTTAAAATATATATAATTCTTATTTTTTCATAACTCTTCTAATTGGTTTAGAGTTTAAAAATAATATAGCCATTTTTTTGACGGATCGAATTGTCGGAATGACATTGATGGAAGAATTGAATAAATTCGACGAATTTTATAATCGATTGCTTTGATACCTGAGCCACTTAAATTTCGAGAGCATTCCTTGAAAAAAATACATTTTCAACGTGCATTCAAGGAAAAGATACCAAAAATTCAAAGAGAGCGTTGATACTTGGCAAAAAAAAACCTGTGAAAATGGAATCAACCTTCGATCTCGTACTTAAAAAAAAAACAACGAAAGTCATAAAGAATTAGATAGATTATAAATGTCTCTTAATGCGAATGATGCCGGTTAAATTTATAGTACGAGATTTACTAAGGCGGATGAAGACACCGGTTTGACCCTGGACTGAAGTGAGGCAGGCGAAAAAAGATACCGAGCATGTGACGGAAGCAAGTTTGACCATACTTAAAGCGCCTTTTATCGTTGAAACTTCATTTACAACTTTATTACCTTTCGAGGGGACAAATAAAGGACCGATTATCAAGGTTGTAAGGTCGATCATCTTAACATTGTATCGTGAAACCTCAAAACTGATCAGTAAAAAAATGAAAGGGAAATGAAATATTTTTTATACATTTATGATTTAATAATTCTTAAAAATAAACTTGCGAAAATTAATTAATTATTAATAAATTAACAACAGATACTTACGATTAACATTAAGAGCATCATTCGACCAAGGTGTTTAAAAACTTAATGTACGCCAACACGTCAAAAAGTGTTAGAAGCATAAATTCAAAATTTAACATGCACCAAGACAAATTGTCATAAAAAGTAACAAAAAACATTTTTTGAGGAAATATTTTACTTTATTCCTTACGTCTGAAACTGTACCTAGGCGACCTGGCCAGAGCAGTCGAAAACATACATAAATGTACATATAAATAAATATAAAGGAAAAATAAGTGTCACGAGAGGGATTCGAACCCAGGCCCTTCTTTAGCCGAAGGTCGTGGGTTCGAATCCCGCTCGTGACACCTATTTTTCCTCTCAGCTAAAAACCTTAGATAAAAAGAATAATTGGAATAATAGGCATGGTCAATTATGTCCACTAAGCAAATAGGGATTAATTTATTACGGAAAAAGTTAAAATAAGCTATAGATCTACAATAGGAGCGAAACACCTATTTGCATTTCCTTATGGAAGAGCTGAGGCTATCATAAAAATACTTAAGTGGATAATGCAGTGCCCTTCAAAAGGCGAACAATTATGAACTCAGTATTGCCAAGCCCGCGGTGAAAATACATGTGGAAAAATTCCTCAGGGTGCGTAGATCAAGTTGTTGAGCACATTCCAACCGAAGTATAGGAATTTTCCTTCGAAGCTTGAAGTTTGTGCGGAGGGATGTATATAGCATTTTTCAGTCAAATGAAACTTTTTTTCAATCAAATGAAACCTTTTTCGGAGCAAATGAAACCTTTTTTCAAGCAAATGAAACCTCTTTCCAAGTAAATGAAACCTTTTTTCATCCAAATGAAACCTTAATTCAAGAAAANTTTTGAGGCAATAAAAATGTATGCATAAATTACTAACATTTGAATTACTTGTGCCTTTTTATAAAACACCCTAATGTTTGGATTTCATTTTCTTGAAGTAAGGTTTCATTTGATTGAAAAAAAGTTTCATTTGACTGAAAAATGCTATATATAGATGAATGCAAAAAAACTAAATGGTTCTTTTCAAAACACGTAAGAAGACAAGACCGTTTTTTTCTTTAACAATTTAAAAAAAAATTAAGCTTTGCAAAAACTCAGCGAGAACGTTTTAATAAATGGTGTATATTTTGTCACCAAATTGTCCTGTTTTGTGGAAAATTTTTAACAAACAGGTTCTAATTGTAGATAAATAATAAACACAGTTCAAGTGAATTGGCACGGTTTCAAACTTAAAGCTATCATAGTTATCAAATTTACGTAGCCAATAATATTTGGCGTTTTTATTTTTATCGACTAACATATTTATGAAAAGTTGATAAATTCCAGGATTCATATAGACCAACAACGCTTTTTTCCAATGTTTATAAGTTATGTAGTGCTATGAAGGCAATCAAATATACGTTAAAAAATCAAACAATTTTATCGCAATTCTCAAAAAATAAAAAACGCACACAAACAAATAGAATTAAAACAATATTTCACGTGTGACTGGATAGGTAGTTTTACCAATTTTGACCAAAATTTCACATAAATATTATGAAAAAATGGAAATTTATATTTATATTTAACTATATATTTATGGAGATTTATATTTATGGAATTTATATTTAATGCTTAGCGCAATCTCTGGGCAGGTAGTATAAAAAACTTTCTCTATGCAGTTTACAGTTAATCCGTCGGATATCGTGGACCAAGGGTTTATCCTTGTGTTCATTAACTTACATTTTATATATAAGGAAACACTTTTATTTTTATTGTATGCATTATAAAAATTAAATGAAAATATTTACAAAAACCCAAATTATAACTTGTGTTTTTTGTTACATTTGAGACGTTTATTTTGAAAATCACTTTTAAAAAATCGTTTCAATAACATTAATTACAGTAACGACATTATTTCCTTTTAGAAAAAAAGTAAAATAAATGTGTTGACAACTACTGAAATTGTTTTCAAATGGTTTTAATAATTAACGGTACAACAAATACGACTATTCTTAAAAGTTTAATGGAAAAGATATGGAATTAATTTTTTATTAAACCTGTGTAGGTATGTCAAAAGTGTGGTTTTGAATTGTTCCGATTGTTGAACAATGTTTACATCGCCGGTGCATGTCATGAATATCATTATGTATCCCAGATATACCACAGCCATTTTTGTGTGAAAATTTGAAACGAAATAGAATTTCCGAAAACTTGGCCACTACTATTGACGATTGATGACACTAGAATTGACGATGATTAAATTTAACTGAAATAATTGTATATGAAATTATTTACAATTCACTAATTTCGTGGTCCGCTTGACCAATTAATATATTACAATTAATTAAGGTTTTTAGTTGAGATAAAAAAATCAATGGCACGAGCGGGATTCGAACACACGATCTTCGGCTTGATACGCCACTGCTCTACCACTTACCCGAGTGGATCGAGGTCACGATAGCTCAAGTGGTAGAGCAGCGGCGTATCAAGCCGAAGATCGTGGGTTCGAATCCCGCTCGTGCCATTGACTTTTTTATCTCAACTAAAAACCTTATACTTAAACCTTGTACTTCTTACGAATGTTTTAGAAAATGTACTAATAATTCTGTATTTTAATTACGTTAAAAATTCTAGAATAAATAAAAAAAATTACCAGATAAATTATTATCATTATGGTCAGGGTGATTCTTTATGGGATAACAAAATAGCAGTAAAAGTAAGTAAAAATTGGACTGTAAATGAAAATAGATTGATTTATTTTTAACACTTTATTTAAAACAAAGAACGAAAAATAAAATATTGAACATGTATTTCAAAAGTTTTGTGCGGCATGTATAAATTATCTGCCGGTAGTTGGCTATGAATTTAACTATTTTCACTATCAGATGTGTGAAATTGAGTAAGCTATTAACTAAACATTATTGAACTCGTACCTACCTAAGCATGACGTGCATAGAGTGCAAGGCTTTGAGATTTTTCAAACGTTTTAAATGTTAAGGGGATCAAGCACATGAGACATGGAAAGCATTCTATGTCCTCGATACAGGATCGAAATTCTGACATGGGCAACAAAATGAAATATATCCTTAACGGTTAAACGTTGCCTTAAAATGGTTTAGGTCCTTAAAGAGGATATACCTGTTTGTTGACTGCTTACGATGTGCACAACTCTCACGATATTATCATCTAACTTACTCAAAAGTTCCGCGGTATATTTGAGCCAACTCAACAGATTTTCTGAAAAAAAGTAAAATAATAAACAGAAAACCGGCACAAATGAAGAACGCTTCTTTATTCTAGGCACGTCTAATATGTAATTGAATAAGTACAAGTTTTGTTACATTTTATTTTATGTATATGTACATTTTTGTACATTCAATGTTTTTAAATAAATTTTCTTCATTTTAAGCTGTTTTTATGATTTGCCGGTAATAGTGCTTCCCGGTTATAACCCCGTTTTACCTTGCCTCAGAAGAGAGTTAAAACGAAGTTTTACGATATATAACTATATATAACCGATGTTAATAATACGATATATAACCACTGGAAAATGGCGAAAAAGGAGGGCAAATTCAAAAGGTGGGGTTGAGATGTGAAGTTAGTGACCGAGTAGATCGAAGTCACGTTAGCTCAAGTGGTAGAGTAGCGGCGTATCTAGCCAAAGATTGTGGGTTCGAATCCCGCTCGTGACACTGACATTTTTTATCTCATCTAAAAACCTAAATTAATTGAAAGCTAATAAAAAACGTTGAACTCTTTCTTCTCTTCTCATCACAACGCTGATGGTATGACACCCTAAGTGGAGTAGAATGAAGGAAAACTAAGCTACTTTACTAACTCACTCAATCCAGGATTTTTAAAGTTTTTATTAAATAACGGACTTATTTTTATATCATCAAAATTATGGTGGTTTTTAAAATTATTTAAGTCTAAAGAATTTTAGTGAACGGATATTATGTGGAATGATTATTCTGAAATCGTGAGATGATGTCTGGTGTGAAGTAGGTTTCTGAAAAAGATTTTCTTTATCGTGCCAACGTCTCCATCTTTATTGAGATCATCTTCAGGGCCTGGGATTTACAAACATTATTTAAATTTAACAAATACATGTAGGATGTGGAAAAAAGTGAATTTATACAATGCAAAATATATTTTTTATATTCATTCAAAGTATTTCTACTCACTCAAGTGTTTGTTTTCTGTGTAATTGTGCCATTCTTGCGAGTCGTGTTGTTTTTCTGAAACCTACATCTCACCAGACCGCATTTCACGATTTCTGAATAATCATCGAATAACGGTCACTAATCACCACACATTATGTGGAATGAGTTAAGAATAAAAAATTAGGGGTTCAGAACTGTAAAGATTTTTTCAACCCTAAGTTTTTTCAACTTAAAAAAATTAGAAAAACATTATAGATTACAAATGATTGATTGATCGAAATTGAACAACTTACCAAAGGCTGGGTGTGTTTGAAGTATGTGAGATAAACACTATCAACAAAAAACTTTATTACCGTGAAATATTTATTTATGTAATTTACGCAATACTACTTACTTCTGTGTGTGTGTGTGTGAGAGAGAGAGAGTGTGTGTGTGTGTGTGTGTGTGTGTGTGCGTGTGTGTGCGCGCGCGCGCTTTCAAAATTAAAACAAGCAAAAAGTAACTGTGAAATTATTTTTAATGTGTTGAACATACGGAATTGTAAATGAAACTTTAATAAACTTATTTTGTCATATCTATTTAAGAAAAAATCTTTTGATATAGAAAATATAAACATATATCAATTAATTAATCTTTATGAAAGGTATTGGTCGAGATAAAAAAGTCAGTGTCATGAGCGGGATTTGAACCGACGACCTTCGGCTAAATACTCCACTACTTTACCACTTGAGCTGTTGTGACTTCGAACCGCTCGGACACTAACTTCTCATCTCAACCCCACCTTTTGAATTTTCCCTCCTTTTTGCCATTTTTCAATGGCATATCTCAACCAATACCTTTCATAAAGATTAATTAATTGAAAAATGTTAATTGGTCAATCGGACCACGAACTGTAATGGATTAATAAACATATGTATAGTATAGTACTTTGTATGTAAGTTCTTGGTTGAGATAAAAAAACTCAGTACCACGAGCAGGATTCGAACCCATCTCAACCAAGAACTTACATAACATTTTATGTATATTTATTATTTATTTTTAATAATTATTTGAAAGAAGTAACTTTGTCATTTGACTACTAAAACGTAAATATATTATAGTAATAATCTTCATATTTTATTTCTGTCAGTAGCGTTATTGTGGTTCTGAACGGGATGAGGTAGGTAGAACTTTCTTTATTTATAGCATATCCGGCATCCACATCCATTTTTTTGTAAATTATTATAAAAATTAATAGCTCAAAGGCAAAGTAATTCACGACTTGGAGGAAGAATCGTAACGGCTCATTTTGTACGGTTCCTGGACCACTACGAAACTGACGTACGCAAGGACACCCACCGAATTTACTTTCAAAATTACTTTCTCGTCTGCGACTTCTGCCCCTTCGTTTGTAAAATCCCATTACTATAAAAGGATGACACCCGCTTAAAGAGCTGTTAAGCGTGAACATCTGTCGGTTTCTAATTATAAATGTTGATCATTGACAATTTACAAAAATTGAAGAATTCCTCATCAACGAGTTAAACGATAATTGGTCATTTCTTACGAGGTTTATTCAAATGAGATCAAAATTTTATACGGACCTATTTAACAACTTTTACATCAGAAAACTAGTAGGTTTTTACCTTCATGGCTCTCTCAATAATAAAACTAGGAAATCAGAGATGAAGCCATGAAGATTTTAAAAAACTGTTTTTTGATGTCGAGCTTTTGGCTGTATATGAGTAAGTTAGCTGAATAATCATAATTTTACACATATGTAACCTGCAATTAAGAAAATGCGCTTAATTAAATAGAGTTCTGAGGAGGGCATCAAATACAGCCCAAAGTTCGACAACTGAAAACAAGTTGGTGTTTTTACCTTCATGGCTCTCTCAATAATAAAACTAAAAAATCAAAGATGTAGCCATGTAGGTAAAAAAAATATTTTTTTAATGTCGAGCTTTTGGCTGTATTTGAGTAAGTTAGTTGAATAATCAATATAATTTAACACATATGTAACCTGCAATTCAGAAAATGCGCTTAATTAAATAAGAGTTCTGAGGAGGGCATCAAATACAGCCCAAAGTTCGACAACTAAAAACAAGTTGGTGTTTTTACCTTCATGCCATTATATCCTAGCATTATTATTGAGATTATTTTCAATTTAAATGTAATTTTTATTGTTCTTTGTGTTGATTTTTTAGAACATAATACATTAAATTGACAGCCAAAAGCTCAACATCAGAAAACCAGTTGATTGTTTTTACCTACACGGCTTTATCTCTAATTTCCTAGCTTTATTATTTATAATTGAAGGCCAATAGGATAAGGAGATCTCAATATTTTCATATTAGAGATTATTATTATCATTTAGTTAAAATATACGCAAACCTACTTACATACGCTCATTTAAACCAACCTACATTAATGTTCATACACATAAATAAATAAGTATTCAAAAATACACTTATCACAGATTTTCGGACAAATATTTGCTAGTATGCTCTTTCAGTAATGATTGATCGCTGTAGAAACGCTCGCTTGTAGTCCAAAAGTTTACATTTACAAAGAAGGATAAATGAGATTCCCTTTCACAGTCGCACAAATGGTTAGTTGGTTAGTTCCAGAAAGTGCCATTTTGGTTTTCATTTTGAGAGCCTAGGACGTCCTAGATCGAGAAGATACATTAGGGAAGACCTCTGATCTCATAACACTTTGGTAACTTTGGTTGGTAAACAAAATATGTAAAACCATTCTTTAAATTTTAGCTAACTAACTAATAACTAAGTAGCTACGTTATCAATTGTATTTTTATGCAGTCAATGTCTTATTTGAACCTTTTTTTGTTAAGGGTTGAGGGTTGATAGAATTATGACAATCGTTGTTATCTCATAAATTATAGAAATTATGGTTTTTCTTATAAGACTAATATAAACACTTTCCTTGGTGCTTTTCGTGGATTTATTTTGGTGTGAGAAATATCCTACCAAATTGGCTGTACCGTATGATTCACATTCAGAAAGGACGTGCCGATGTCTCTGGTTCCTCCTGAGAGAGTCGGCATGTTTCTGTCCCTGCTCTCCCCATATTCTTCATATGAAAGTTAAGAGGGCAGTGCCCGGTATAAACGCCTATAATTTTTCTCGAAAATCAAGACCATTTGAACCTTAGCAATTTCTACACGCTAACGCTTTTGTACCACCAACAGTACACTTGTTCTATAAATCCTCATGAAGTTCCGGCTAGTTTTGCTACTAGAAAATGTTCTGAACCTTTCAAACCATTTCTACAATTTTAGGTATTTCATAGCTAGAGAACAATACTTCAATAAAAAAAATTCAAGTCAATTTTAATTTATGAAATGAATTTATTTTATGTTTGAAAAACACGACCAAATACAAAAAGATACACCTTTATTTTACCTGTGAAGATTGCCAATTTTTACAATCTATTTTTTTTTTATTGGTGAAGTAACTACTAAATGCTATGTAATTATATCTAGACAACGCATGTTTTGAACATAAACTATTTCTACTAACATAGTGTTTTACAAAAAATTTTATTCTTTTACTAAAATTAAATATTAAATTACAATTAATTAAGGTGTTTAGTTGAGATAAAAAAGTCACAAATCAAAAATCCCACTCGTGACACTGACTTTTTTATCTCAACTAAAAAACCTTAATTAATTGTAACATATTAATTGGTCAAGCGGACCACGAAACTAGTGAATTCAATTAATTATTAAGATTATTTAAAAAATATCAACTAGAAAACTGCCTGGAAAAATTCGAAAAATTATATTAAAACTGATAGTATTTTCTAGGAATTATTCACTGTCTTGCCCTAAACGACAACATGCCATTTGATGGAAAAAGAAAATTAATTCGATGTCATCATTCATTCTATGTGATAACATATTTCGTTTTTAATACCAACCTACGGATTATATTTTAAGAATTATGAGATTTCTAGTTTTGCTACGGGCTCAGTTTAAACCCTTGAACTTTTACTCGTCTGGAATTGAAGACATTTTAGATGTCAACTGCCCAGTCTGGCCAATCAGTTGGTTTATATTCAATAATCAATTTATTGTCAAAAAATATAACAATTGTATATAGCGTATTTATTATTATTCCTGAATTTCTGAATAATTTACAATCAGTCTAACCCTATTTGGATTACGAAAGTATAAAATTTCTACTTTTTGTGAGTATTAGCTGAATTTATCATATTAAATTAAGTTTCATAGCAATCAGTGAGTGTAAATTATATGTAGATGTATCAATTTGATCTGATTGCACATGCAAAACATAATTATTCTTTTTTTTCTTGTAATTTTTAATTTTGGGACAGATTTATAAACTGTGTTAACTAGTTCACCTCTCACCAGAAATCTTACGACCCATATTTTTCTCAATACATTTTTAACGAGCGATTTAAGGACGACTCGTGAATGAAGCGTCCCCCGGTTAGAACATAATTGTGAACATTTTGTTACTACGTTTTATTAGGTTTCGTGGTCCGCTTGACCAAATAAATTCTTTTCAATTTATTAAGGTTTTGGTTGAGATAAAAAAGTCAGTGTCACTAGCGGGATTCGAACCCACGACCTTCGGCTAAATGCGCCACTCTCTACCACTTGAGCTATGACTTCGATCCTCCATTCATTTGAACCAATACAAAGAATAATTAATCGAAAGAACTAATTCGGTCAATCAGATCACTAAATATAATGGATAGTGGCATTGCACGTTGATGGCTTGAATTAACATTATTATATCTCAACCAAAATTTTAATTAATTAAAAAGAATTTATTGGTCAAGCGGACACGAAACCTAATAAAATGTAATTGGCAAAATGAAGTATACTTCACTAAAGTTCTCCGTGGCCATTTCATTTGTCGCCGAGAATCAAAAAGATTACACGGCATTTGAAAAGTGGCAAAAAAAAGGGAAAATTCAAATGGTGGGGTTGAGATGGGAAGTTAGTGTCCGAGTGGATCGAAGTCACGATAGCTCAAATGGTAGAGCAGCGGCGTATTTAGCCGAAGGGCGTGGGTTCGAATCCCGCCCGTGACATTGACTTTTTTATCTCAACCAATACCTTAATTAATTCAAAAATATTAATTGGTCAAGCGGACCATGAATACTAGTGATTATAATATATAATAATAATTTTCCTACTTGGAAGGAAGAGGAGCAGTAATTCGGTTGAATGAATGACAGTCAATCTGAAATATACTCTTTTAACCGGGCACAAATATTCCCTCATGTAGACAGTAGTTGGTTAAAATAATTCTTCATCCTCGCTGGAAAAATAGCTGAAATTTCTGAAAATAAGTACACATTCCA